GAGAGCAAGAACCGAGCTACTTTCCCAAAAAAGGCGGCGCCGTTGTGATAAGGGACCGCGTACCCGTAAGTCCCGTCCGTGAAACCGCCAAGGATGCCCTTGAGGTCGCTGTCCGTCCTGGCCAGATTCAGGACTTCCACGGTGTTGAAGTCCGAGAGCAAGAACCGAGCTACTTTCCCAGAATGAATAATCACGTACCCGTAGGTCCCGACCGTGAAGCCGCCATTGAAGCCATTGAGGTCGCTGTCCGTGTTGGCCAGATTCAGGACCTCCACGGTGTTGAAGTCCGAGAACAAGAACCGAGCTACTTTACCAAACGAACACGCCATGTACCCGTAGGTCCCGTCCGTGAAGCCGACACGGCAGCCCTTGAGGTTGCTGTCCGTGTTGGCCAGATTCAGGACTCCCACGGTGTTGAAGTCCGAGAGCAAGAACCGAGCTACTTTCCCAAAATTGTTGTGAGGGACCACGTACCCGTAGGTCCCGTCCGTGAAGCCGCCCCTGAAGCCCTTGAGGTCGCTGTCCGTGCTGGCCAGATTCAGGGCCTCGACGGCGTTGAAGATTGGCGTTGCGCCTTGGGCTTTGTTGTGGCCGCGGGCTCTGCGGTCGGTTGTGTTTGTGCCAGCGGCGGGCTTCTGCTCCTCCACGAGGTTGGCCCAAGGCTTGACGTAAAGGGAGCTGGCCATCGAGGCGGCGCAGAGAACGAGGAGCGCACGCGCCGAAGACCGCATCGCTGAAGAAATCTGCGGACGCAAGCCGTACGCCAACAGGAGTACAAAGTTGAAGATGCAGCAAAAGATGTGGGCCAAACCCTTCCTTATGGAGGGCGGAAATGAAGAACAAAAAGGGGCACACTCTGACCGGACAAGAACGGGAAGCGTCGTTTTTTTCCACAATTTATCCTTTGATTCTCGTGAGTCTGCTTGCATGGAGGGGAAGAGAGGGGGAAGCCGGGAAGCCAGGTGAACCGCCAGAGGAAACATGGGCTCCTCGTAGACTGGGCCCTACTCGAAGGCTTTTTCGGCTCAGCATTGGTGAAAAGGGGGGAGGGGAGGGGGAAAGGTGGGGGAGGGCAACACCTATGCAATAAAACGTTCGATTAATCAAGCGAGCCCCCAAAAAACGAGGGAGCCAGACATCCCCGCGTCGAGAAAATATCGTTTCAAAATTATCCTGGCGAGGGACCCAACCATGTGCAGTTGTGAGTGACGCAGTTGTGGGTATCGACCTCGGTGAACCCCTGGGGTTACGACGCGTGTGACGGGTGTGCCAAAATTGGCACGGGTACGCCATGCGGACGCTGCCACCAGAGCCGTCGGTGGAGCACCCTATGGGGCCGCGGAACGTGCAAGGGGTGCGCCGAAATGGGGGGTGGAACTGCATGCGGACCCTGCCACTGGGGCCTTCGGCGGAGCGCCCTATAGGGCCACGAAACGTGTGAGGGGTGTGCCGAAATGGGGGTGGAACCGCATGCGAACGCAAGCACTGTGGCCTTCGGTGGAGCTCCCTTCGGTGGAACCGCATGCGAACGCAAGCACTGTGGCCTTCGGTGGAGCTCCCTATGGTGGCCACGTCCGTGCCAAATTCTCTCTGCTACCCCTCCTCGATCATTCCTGACTACCTACCAGACCACGCCAACCCAACCCGAAGACCCGAATTTGACCCGAATTTCGGGTTGGGGGGACGGGTTCCATGTGTTTTGTTCAATGTTCCCCGACCCCCTCCCATTGGAAATGGAAGGAAAATTGAAGCCTTCGGGTTGGGTTGGGGTCGTTTGGCGGGTGGTGAATCCCTAGGCATTCCCAGACGCCGCCGCCGAGAATCGCGACGTCACCGGCCCTCGAAAACCCACGGGAGTCAGGCGCAGTCATGTCTGCACGCAAAGGCACAGGCGGAGCTCCGCGCGAGCATCCGGATTTGAGTGGCTCACGGATCAAAAGAAGCAACAGGCAAGTGGGGAAGGCAGAGGTCGAGGACAGTCCTCGACAGAGAGGAGGGAAAAGGAACGACATGTGCTCTGCAGGCGCGGCCACATCACCGCATCAGCGACATCGGAGAGAACTCGCAGCGAGCGGACAACTCTAGGATGGGCTGGGGATCCGCCGCAAGACAATACAAAACGCATGGCAAATGGAAAATGGAAGAGGGGAGACATGCGTAGAGGAAGGAAGGATGAGGAGGATGCGGATGGGGGGCACTCGAAGGAGGTTGTCACGCAAGGCTATGGACAAAACCTTCGCTGCACGCGCGCCCACTTACAGCCCAGGACTCCAAAGAAAACCTGGGGGCCCTGGGGCGAAGGGGACTGTTCGGCAACGGGGACATTGAATTCCCAAAACACAAACCAGGAATACACAAAATTTCGCACCATCGGCGCCACGGAACATTACGCACCGTTTTTCGTTGATATCGCAAGCTTATGAAGCTCACCTGAAGAAGTACCAGAGGACCATTCAGTCTTGAATTTCGGTGTCTGAATTCTTGCACGTATCATTTCTTTCCGAAGCATCCCTCCTGCTCACCCTGACCTGCTCCGTCCACCGTCTGCAACGGAGACGGCCGAACCCGGTTGCACGGAGTCGAGGCGCGCACACGCTTGACATCGATTCAAACAAGCGGCAGCACGCTACGCCTGACTCGCGCGTGAAGCGCTGGCAACAAAATCTGGCACGCAACACAGCGCCCCCGCTGGCTGGCCGTCCCCTGCCTACTCCACCGACCGACTGCTCCGGCTTCTTCTGCCACCATCCCTCCTGCTCACCCTCGACTCCTCCATTCACTATCAGCAAACTGCTGATCGCGGTGTCACGGAAAAAAGGCGCGCACACGCTTGCCATCGATTAAAACAAGCGGCAACACGCCAAGCTTGACGACCATTCGGACGACCTGGCAGCACATCGAAGGCGCGAGAACTAGAGGGGCACACCATCGCAGTGTTGTTTGTTAAACAGGACACCAGATCGGGACAGAATTGTCAGGGAACCGGGGCCACACCGGGCAGGGGCGGGTTGTTGTTTATAAAAGAGGACAGCAGATCGGGACATAATTGTGTCAGGGGACCGGGGCCGTGTTGTTTGTTAAAGAGGACACCAGATCGGAACAGAATTGCGTCAGGGGACCGGGGCCACACCGAGCAGGGGCGGGGTGTTGTTTGAATATAAAAGGACACCAAATCGGGACAGAATTGTGTCAGGGGACCGGGGCCAGACCGGGCAGCGGAGAGGTGTTGTTTGTTAAAGAGGACTGCAGATCGGGAAAGAATTGTGTCAGGGAACCGGGGCCACACCGGGCAGGGGAGGTGTTGTTGTTTGATTAAGAAGATTCCAGATCGGGACAGAATTGTGTCAGGGGACCGGGGCCACACCTGGCAGGGGGGGTGTTGTTTGTTAAGGAAGAATGCAGATCGGGACAGAATTGTGACAGGGGGCCGGGACCACACCGGGCAGGGGGGGTGTTGTTTGTTAAAGAGGACAACAGATCGGGACAGAATTGTGTCAGGGGACCGGGGCCACACCAGGCAGGGGAGGTGTTGTTTGTTAGAGAGGACAGCAAATCGGGACATAATTGTATCAGGGGACCGGGGCCAGACGGGGCAGCGGAGAGGTGCTGTTTCGTAAAGAGGACACCAGATCGTGAAAGAATTGTGTCAGGGGACCGGGGCCACACCGGGCAGGGGCGGGGCGTTGTTTGTTACAGAGGATCGCAAAGCGGGGCAGAATTGTGTCAGGGAACCGGCGCCACACCGACCAGGGGGGGTGTTGTTTGTTAAAGAGGACACCACATCGGGACATAATTGTGTCCAGGGGGCCGGGGCCAGACCCGGCAGGGGAGGTGTTGTTTGTTAAAGAGGAAAGCAGATCGGGACAGAATTGTGTCAGGCGACCGGGGCCGCACCAGGCAGGGGCGGGTTGTTGTTTGATTAAGAGGACACCAGATCGGGGCAGAATTGTATCAGGGGACCGGGGCCAGACCGGGCAGCGGAGAGGTGCTGTTTCGTAAAGAGGACACCAGATCGGGAAAGAATTGTGTCAGGGGACCGGGGCCACACCGGGCAGGGGCGGGGTATTGTTTGTTAAAGGGGACAGCAGATCGGGACATGATTGTGTCAGGGGACCGGGGCCACACAGGGCAGGGGCGGGGTGTTGTTTGTTAAAAAGGACAGCAGATCGGGACAGAATTGTGTCAGGGGACCGGGGCCACACCGGGAAAGGGAAGTTTGGTTTGTTAAAGAAGACACCAGATCGGGAAATAATTGTCAGGGGACGGAGGCCACACCGGGCAGGGGGGGTGTTGTTAAAGAGGACTGCAAATCGGGACAGCATTGTGTCAGGGGACCGGAGCCACACCGGGCAGGGGAGGTGTTGTGAGTTAAAGAGGACAGAGCACATCGGGACAGAATTGTGTCAGGGGACCGGGGCCACACCGAGCGGGGGGGTGTTGTTTGTTAAAGAGGACACCAGATCGGGACAGAACTGTGTCAGGGGACCGGGGCCACAATGGGGACAGGGGCGGGTTGTTGTTTGATTAAGAGGACACCAGATCGGAACAGAATTGTCTGGGGACCGGGGCCAGACCGGGCAGCGGAGAGGTAACGTTGTTTGTTAAACAGGACACCAGATCGGGACAGAATTGTCGGGGGACCGGGGCCACACCGGGCAAGGGGGGTGTCGCTTGTTCAAGGGGACAGCAGATCGGGACATAATCGTGTCAGGGGACCGGGGCCACACCGGGCAGGGGCGGTGTTGTTTGCAAAAAAAAAAAAAAAAAAAAAAAAAAAATCGGGACAGAATTGTGTCAGGGGACCGGGGCCACACCCGGCAGGGGCGGGTTGTTGTTTGCTAAAAGAGGACAGCAGATCGGGACAGAATTGTGTCAGGGGACCGGGGCCACACCGGGCAGGGGCGGGGTGGTTGTTCGATTAAGAGGACAGCAAATCGGGACATAATCGTGTCAGGGGACCAGGGCCACGCCGGGCAGGGGGGGTGTTGTTTATTAAAGAGGACAACAGATCGGGACAGAATTGTGTCAGGGGACCGGGGCCACACCGGGCAGGGGGTATGTTGTTTGATTCAGAGGACACCAGATCGGGGCAGAATTGCCCTCCCTCTCATTATTCCAGACCTTCCGTGCTGGTCTTCCACCCTCTTGCGCTACCTCAAACGCTGAGTTATATTGAATTGCGTAAGGTTTACAATGGTTATAACGAATTGTTTGAGGTCCCAGCGAGTTCCCGAAAAACGCGGAGACATTCTGAGACACCGTTCCTTCTCTCTTGTTTCCGCCGTCATCACAGCTTTCACCTTCATCATCATCATCATCATCATCATCATCATCATCATCATCATCATCATCATCATCATCATCATCATCATCATCATCATCATCATCAATCATCAGCATCATCATCATCATCATCATCATCATCATCATCATCATCATCATCATCATCATCATCATCATCATCATCATCATCATCATCATCACATCATCATCATCATCATCATCATCATCATCTGCATCATCATCATCACCATCACATCATCACGCCACGATCATCGCCAATATTGCATTCGACCGCTTTACTGCGCACTGCATCTCTAGGGCGCATATTCTTAATTAGCTGGTCGTTGAAGACCTGCCTGAGGGATGCGGGGCGGAGCGAGCGACCTCCTCAACCCCTCGCTCCTCCCCGCATCCCCCATACAGGTCCTCAACGACCACCTAAGTAAGAAAATGCGTCCTAGAGATGCAATAGCAGTGAAGCACACTGGTGCAATACTGGCGATGATCGTGACGTGGTGGTGATGGTGGTGGTGGTGATGGTGATAATGGTGATACTGGTGATGATCATGATGATGATGATGACGATGATGATGATGATGATGATGAGGATGATGATGTTGATGATGATCCGGGTGGAGCTTTGATGGCGGCGGGAACGGGAGAGAAGGAGCGATGTCTCAAAATGTCTTTGCGTTCTTCTGGCACTCGCTGGAACCTGAAACATGCACTTGAAGGTAGCGCAGGAGGTTGGAAAAGGTCATCATCATCAGCATCATCAGCAACAGCCGCAGCAACATCATCAGCATTAGCATCATCATCATCATCATCATCATCATCATCATCATCATCATCATCATCATCATCATCATCATCATCATCACCATCATCATCATCATCAGTTGCCACTCGCATATTATCACCCAGGGCCTTATGGTTCGGGGCTTAGGCTTAAGGGTTTGAATGCGCTACATGCGTCGCGGTATGGCGTCGGGTAGGGTGTCGACGTAGGGCGTCGGGTAGATCAACCAAGACTTGAGCGCACGGTGTTGCAGCCAGCTTGGACCCCAATCGGCGTCATCTGGATACACTGTTATGTACTCGGTGGTGCAATCTATGTGGTGCAATCTATGTGGTGCAATCGTGCACGTGAGACACACGCTACACTTGACGCCGTCGCACCCGCAATGCGCGAACCGACGTGGGCGACGACGGGCGACCCCGCACCGACGTGCACCGGCCCGCGCATCACGCGGGCGCGGGTGGATGACAGTTGGGCGGGGTCACCCGTCACCGCTCACGTCATCGCAGATGACGGGTGCGATGGCGCCTCAGATATTGGGCGCCATGGGATAGCATCGAGAGGGTGGGGATGGGGGAGAGGAGGAGGAGGAGGAGGAGGAGGAGGAGGAGGAGGAGGAGGAAGAGGAGGAGGAGACAAAACGACGAGACGAGCCCATGGAATCCACAACTGTCTGAACGATGAAACAGCTTTACACAGGATTCTGGGAGTGGGTAGCTTCGACCCTCACGAAGATTATGACTTGAAAACCCGCAGCTCACGCTCCTCAGCTGCGGCACTGGCCCGTCGGCACCTCTGAGGCTGGTCCCTTCCTCATCATGGTTCCTCTTCCTCTCCCCCCTCATCTCCTCATCCCTCATCCCCTTTCTACTTTATTGACATTCACCTCCGCCTCCGACCTGTTGTGCTGCAAAATATGATGCCCCCCCCCCCCCCCCCCCCCCCCCCATGGGCAAAAAAAAAAAAAAAAAAAAAAAAAAAAAAAAAAACGCCATTGGGGAAACAGCTCGGGGCGGAGACAGTAGAGCATTGGGCGTCGGGGGACTCACCGCATGCGACTCACAACCACCAGCATTGCGGCCCGTCTAGGACGTCGTCCTCGAGCGTCGTCGCCCCCGTGGTCGGCTGCACGTCCTTCCAGCCCCTGGCCAGAGAGTCGGGCGAGCTGTGGTCGGGGTACTCCCAGAGTGGCTCGAGCGTCGGGTCGACGATGGCGAAGTACCAGAGATTCTTCCACACGTCATCATCGCCCGCCAGGGAGTGGCCCTTGGCCAACCCGCTGTCGCTGCGGAAGATGCGCACGTCATTGATTAGCTGGATACCGTTCGCAAGTGCCAGCTGAACCACGAGCCACGTCTTCAGGACGGCACACGACACACCGTCGCCGCGACCAGCCAGCACAGGATTAGGAACTTTGATGAACTCCCACGCGCCCGTCTTCTGAATCTTCACCGTGAACGGCCATTTGGGCTCGCAGCTCACGCCAGAAACGATGCCCCCAGCATGAGGGTCCAGCAATGAACTCTTCGATGCGATGAGATTGATCGCGCGGTACGTGGACGGATTGACAATGTACTCGTCCCACAGCGGGTGCTTCGCCACGGTCGGGTGGGTTTGAGAAGCCTCGTAGATGCAGATGTCCGCATCGCAGTCAGCGCACACCGAGTAGTCTTGTTTGATGCTCTCCTTGATCATCTTCACCTCGACGCCGCTGGACCACGACAGGTTGCACCGACATCCGCAATCACTGGCCCGAAACACGCCAGCTCTTCGAAGTAGATGCTGAGCTTCAGCATGCCCGCAGTCGCACCCGACGCCGCAATGTATTCAGTCGCAACCATCGCACCTGCCTCGGGCGAACGCCTTGGGCGAAAGCGTTGGGTAGGGCGTCGGGTGCGGCGTCGAAAGTGCACGAACTTGAGCCACAATGTTTTATTCACGGGTGTTGTGTTGTTGAGCGTGGTGTATTAGCTCTGGTCGGGCGCGGAACCCAAACAGTGCTTCAACCCCGAACAGCCTGGGCGTGGACCCCAAACAGTGCGTGGACCCCAAACAGCGCTAGACCCCAAACAGCGCCTCGACCCCAAACAGAGCGGAATTCGATGCGCGGCATTCGCACACGGCACCGCAATCCGATGCACGACACGGCACCGCAAGGGTGATGTTGGCGACGGTGAGTTCGACGGTGGTGGTGGTGATGATGACGATTGTTGCATTTTCAGGCATGGCACTTTTGCAAATGCTTCATGTACCATTTGACGGCGGCGTTCTCTGTATATTTGGTCATGTTCGCATTCACTGACATTTTCCTGGCAGGAAAACTTTCAGATTCATCTGCGTAGTTGTGCGTCCAACCTGGGTTGCCCGCGAAACGGGCTCGGTCCACTATACGCATGGCGAACGCGTGAAATTTGATGGTGACGGTGCGGCCGCTGTCGGCCCAGGCGGCCATCGTACGCTTGACAACGGCGCCCATGTGCGCCAGCGAGCGCGGGTTCGTCCATCCGACGAGGCTGGCTTTTACATATACTATACAACTCAAGCATGCCTTCGCCGAAGGTTTGAAGCTTAGTTCCATCTGCGCCATCTGCAGCGCTATCCAACAGGGCCCGCCCCCCATCATTCTTCAGGAGATGCACGACGAAGCCGAGGAGCGAGCGCGTTTTGCCAGCCTTGAGTTTCAGACATAAGTGCCCCCTGCCGACGCGCGCCTTCGTGCACGAACCAACGACCTTGTCGTTTTGAATGCGACCCTGCTGCTTCCACCAATGCATGTACATGTCGTGCAAGGCAGCATCTACATGTGAAAAATCGCCCCCCGTGAACTCACCAAAAAAAACCAGCGTCTGTCAGAGCCCAGATTGCAACGCCGCGGTAATAATGCAACATTCCGAGCTCGCAGACGCGCATAGCATCCAAAAGGAAATGCTCTAGCCGAAGTCCTGGGACCCCCTCTTGGATGCCACTGACACAGAACAACCTGCTCACAAACATGATGCTGTGTTTGGGTCGTCTGAACACTAGGAATTTCCGACGCTCGACAGGGTGCGTATCGACGGGGTCCACGTGCCACACGTCGAGGTACTGTGGCAGCGGAGACTCGATGCGGTCGCCACGTCGCAACGACGGGGAATCAGCTCGAATCTGACGTAAAAAAAAACGGCTGTGTCCATCAGCCACTGGTGCTTCCTCTTGCGCAGCGGCGCATTCAAATCACTGAAAAGATTATTGCGTTGGAAACAGGCAATGCACCCATGCTTGCTTCGGAAATCGCGGGGGGGGGGGGGGAACTTTTTCCCAGCTCGTCCATGTCAGCTGCAACTTCGACCAGGGCGACCCTGCAATTTCCATAGCCGTGTCTTGATGGAAGCAACGGTTTGGTTGCAACACGAGCCCTCCAACTTGTCGGGGGCCACGGATTCCCCCCGCTGTCGAATCTGGGCCGCTCCCCGAGGGCTGCAGTTCGAAAGTCAAACGCAATCTTATCAAACAGAGCTTGCACTGCGTGGGCGCCGCGGCAACCGCATCGGCACATCATTCGGGCATGGGACTGGCCGACAAGGATGCGTTCCTGCTGGCGGAGCGTCGCAGCGAAAATCCGCCGCCCCGCGTACAGGGGCACCACGCAGGGCGAATCTACTAAGAACGCCACTGTTACAACGACTCGCTCAGGCGAGGGGCAGGGCGAGCAGGGGAAGGAGGATGAGGAGAAGGAGGAAGAGGAGGGGGGGGGGCAGGAGGAGGAGGAGGAGGAGGAGGAGGAGGAGGAGGAGGAGGAGGAGGAGGAAGGGGGGGGGAAGGAGGAGAGGAATAGGTGGGGGGAGCGGCGTGCCCCCCCCCCCCCCGCCTGCCACAGCCCCCCCCCCCGCTCGCTTCATGGCCGCATAGGGGGTTCCACTGAAGTCCTTAGTTGGTGGGGTGGGGCAATGCGCATCTCCCTCGCGCGCTTCGTGGCCCCATGCCGGTGCCCACTCAAGGCCACCGCGGGCGCGGCCGCGCGCGCGCGCCCACCGCCGCCCGCCGGAAGGGAGGCGCGCCCCCCCCTTCCCCCCCCCCCCTCCCCCGCCACCGCGCGCGCGTTTCGCGGGCGCATGTAGGCCAGTTCCACGCAAGGCGTCACATGGGGGTGGCCGCGTCAAGGCCTCAGCTGGGGAGCTTGGAAGTTCCGCAGCTGGGGGCTTCCGCGCAAGGCTTCTGCTGGGGGGTTCCACGCAAGTTCGCCGCGGGCGCGTGGTGCGCCCTATATTTTCCAACGTAGAAGCGTCGCGATGTTGGCCATGAAAGTGAATGCTTAACGGTGGCCGTCTGGAATTTGACGTGATTGCATGGTTTTCCCAAGCTAAATGGAGAAGAGCAGCTCTTGCTTCGAGATTAATTTGAACGCTTAAACGTGCACGGTGTGATTCTGAAGTTACCTTTCGAGTTTCTCTTTAAGCAACAAGCCAGCAACGCTGCCAGCCTGGATTCTCGAGTAAACCCTTGGGGGTGACCGACGGGCGCGCGCGGGCGACGCGTGTCACCAGGGCGCGCGTGCGTGGTGATTTGTGCATTGTCCGTAATGAAAAGTTTGCCATGTTGGTTTGGAAACTAAAGTGAACCCTTAACGGTGACCCATTGGAGTTTGAAGTTGGTACGTGTGTTGCGCGTGTGTTTGTGCGTTTTCAAACAGGACGGGGGGGGTTATCGCACTTGCGCGCGCGCGTGGGGAGAGCACTGCACTGTCCACGATCGATAAGTCGGCTTGGGAACTAATGTGGGCGCTGAACGATGACATATTTGTTTCTGAAGTGAACATTGTTGCTGGTGCGCGTGCACAGCCATGATCGACGCCGAACTGTCCACGCGCGCGCGGTGAGGCCTGGGCAAGAAAATGCTCGACAGGATGTCGGGTGCCCCGCGCCGTGGGCGGGTCGCCCGCGGCGCGCGCGTTTGGGGCCAGTTCTGCGCTGCCAGCAATCTCAAACGTCGCAGCGCGGGCTGGGAATTATAGCGAACCCATCACGGCGACCTATTGAATTTTGCGCGAACGTGCGCTTCTCAATTTTTCAACATGGAACGGTCGCAACGTTGGCTTGGCAATTGAACTTAGCGCAATGTTTGAAATGTGTGCGCGTTTCGGTGTTCGTTTTGGGCACGAAGAGAACTTGCCATGTTTGCTTGGGGTCTACAGTGGGGCCCTGAAGGATGGCCGACGGACGCGCGCGGGTGGCGCGTGTCATCCGCGCGCGCGCGCGCGTGGTGCGTTCTTATTGCCCGCAATGGAATGGTCGCCGTGGTGGTGTGGAAACTGGAGTGAACCCTTAGCGGCGGCGGATTGGATTTCGAAGTTACCATGACCAACACAGCACCCACTTCGCGCGGGCGCGGTGGTCTCTGCATCAGTCGCAATAGCAGAGTCGCCGCTTTGGTTTTGAAACCAAAGTGAACCTTGAATGCTGACCGATTGGATTTTGAACTTGACATGTGGCCTGGCGCATAGCCCATGCCATGATCAAGACAGAGCTCCGCGCGCGCGCCGTTGGGAATCTGTATTGTTCACGACAGGGCGGCCCCCATGGTGGCATGCGTGTTTAACTTACCCCTTAACCCTGGCCGATTCGATTATTCAGGTTCGCATGGGTTTTGTTGTCTGCGTTCTCTGATGGCGCGCGCGCATTGGGGGCGCTGCGTTGTCATCCATAGAAAGGTCGCCATGTTGGCCTGGCAAACCAAGTAAACTCTTAACTGTGACCGATTGGATTTTGAAGGTAACATGGGCGTCGCTGTGCCATTTCCCTGGCGGGCCACATAGAACCTCGCGCGCGCGTGCCCTGCGGGAGTTATTTACTGCCCACAATTGAGACTCGGCGTATCGACCAGGGAACTTCGATGTCGCGCGCCGTCGAGCGGGGCGCGGGCTTTCTGCAGCGACACTGCTGTCGCTCGCCACGCATGGGGAGGGGGGGGGTCCTGATAGAGCCCCGGGCGCGCAACCCTACGTGCTCGGGTATGTGTGTGTGTGTGAGTGCGCGTGTGTGTGTGTGTGTGTGTGCGCGCGTGTTTGTGCGTGCGCGCGTGCGTGCGTGCGTGCGTGTGTGTATGCGTGTGTGCGTGCGTGCGTGTGTATGTGTGTGTGTGTGCGCGTGTGTGTGTGTGTGTTCGTGTGTGTATGTGTGCGTGCGTGCGTGCGTGCGTGCGTGCGTGCGTGCGTGCGTCTGCGCGTGTGTGTGTGTTGTGTGTGTGCGCGTGTGGTGGGTGGGCGGGTGGGCAGGTGGCGGTGGCGCGCGGGCGGGCGGGCGCGGGGCGCGCGCGCGCGCGGGGGTGGGGGGGGGGGGGGGGGGGGGGGGGGCAGTTCCGACGCCGCGCGCGGCTTATGAGCGCCGAGGAATTCGAAGGGGCCCGAAGGCCACAAATAAATATTGGGGACACCTCGGGGCCCTGACACCTCGGGGCCCTTACATGCGGGCAATGCCAGGGGGCCAGCGACGCCCAGATGCACCCCGATGGGCCAGTGAATATCGCGCGGCACCAACAATGCCGCATGGCACCTTCCCAGGGCGCAACAAATTATCCAGGGGTTCTGCGCTACATATGCCTGTGGTATCCGATGAAATCGCAAGGGGCACCAGGCGGAATCATGAAGCACCCGATATCATTCTCATTGGTAGAGAACCAGAAGGGACCCGCAGAAATTCTGGAAAAAAACCGACGGCATCACATGG